TTACCCTTGCGAGATTTAATCTTGCTTAGGCGGTCCATCAGCTTGGCACTGACCTTGCTGTCTAGCTCGATCTTGCCCATGTTCTTGCTAAAGTCATCCTCGCCTTCGGACTCGGACTCGCTAATGTCGCTATCCTTGATGCCCGCCAGGAGTGCGGCCTCGTCGATCTCGCTGTCGGATCCCTCGCTGTCCTCGTTGGCTGCCTCGATGTCTTCATCGTCACCGCTGATGTTGTCCTCCTCCTCCTCCTCATAGTCCTCTTCACCGCTGTCAGAGACATCTTCGATTGCAGAGTCGTCGGACATTTCGTAGATCGTCTCCTCGATATCTGAGCCATTATCCTCATCAATTTCGGAATCTGACATATCTTCGTCAATGGGGGCCTGTGTCACGGATCCCTTCTTCTTATTCGGCACGGCCTTCTGTATGGGCTTTGGCGCAGCCTTAAGGGCAATCTTAGGGGCAGCCTTAGGAGCAGCCTTAGGGGCAATCTTAGGGGCAGCCTTAGGAGCAGCCTTAGGGGCAGCCTTCTGTGCGTTCTTCTTGCCTGCGGTGTTGTTGCGTCCTGGTGCCATTATTTAATTTGAATATATGTACACTGTATGCGAATATATATTTATATGTGTGATTTTAGTAGGAAAAAATATGTTTAGAGAAGCACAACAAGGATGGCTGCTCAAATATGTAGAAATAATCATACATGCTTAGCACTTTTTTTTCTTTCTCCATTCATTTTTTTTAGAGTGAGTGAGGAAGAAAAAAAAACTCGACTGATGATTAAATCTTACTCGATTGACTATTAAATAATCAGCACCAGCAACGTTTTTGGGTTCAACTGAAATCGAGATCGTAATCCACTAATTTTCTGTTTACTTTTCATGCTTTCAAGCATTTACATGCCACAACAGCGTGTTGGTCATAAATTCATGAGGGCAAAAAGACGCACTGCAGGCACAAGTGTGATGGCAAAATAAAAATAATAAAAACAAGTTTGGTACGATTTTAAGCTAAACTATTTCATTTTTTAACTTTCAATTCCGTTTTCATTTTACATGTTTCTCTCATGTCCTAAATTATATTGCTGTGAATTCCTATTCTTAATTTATTTTTATTTTCACTCGCCGCACACTACTTCTTAAAACCGCTCTACGGAATGTCACCCTTTGGAGTTGAACATACACCCAGCGAGCAACAGAGCGCTCGGCCAGCGCGCCTGCCATACACTACTGCGGCCGCCGCCGGCAAACGGGGAAACATATCTTCCAAACTGTTTGACGCCCCTGGTGATGCTTTTGACGATATCGATGATTTGAGCGACATGGAGGGCATGAAGTTCAGCAACTCCGGCCGCCGAACCGATGCAAGTGCGCCCGCAGCTAGGGACAAAACCCCAGGGACGCAAAAGTTAGAATTATCTCATATTGAGAAGGCCGAGAGGTCGAACAACAGGAGGGGCGTTCGCGACTTGTCCTTTAACGAGCAGGCCTACACAGGACAGTCTAATTCAGACCAGCACAACCAGCAGCAGCCTAGAGACAATACACACGCATCGTCGAGCTACCGGTCTTATCAAGTGGACACTGACGCAGCGTCTACAACTACTTTGATAAAGAACCCATCGTCGGGCCAGTCGGGCAGCGCCGGGGTGGTCGCAGAGACACCGGCATATAAGCCACCTCCACACCCGATGCAAAGCTCCACAGCGTCCGCTCGCTGGAAGCACCGAGGCCGACTGGGACTGGCTAAGCCCAAGCGCGGAGACTCGGCCTTGCTATCCGATGATAACACACAGGGCGCCGATGGGGACGCTCCCGGAATGAAGGCTACAGATAGCTCGCACGACTCGCTGGATTTTATGAGCGGCCTTTCGAGCTCCATAAACAACAAGGCGTACGATAGATTTACCCGCTCCCCGCCACCCGTGCTCAACTCATCCTATGCAGGCAGCGTGGACTCGGAAAGCCACCGCAACTCGTTTCTGTCCATGGATGAGGGCAGCGCCGATATGGACAACACCTTTCATTTATCGCGGTCGCGGAGTAAAAACCAAAGTGTATCGAGTACGGGTTATGCGCCCATGCGCGGTTTGCAGAGCATGGCCGGTGACATGTTTGCTGGGAGCCGGTCTATGGATATCAGTGATGTGTCGATGAACAGCAACCCGAAGAGCCGCTCGCCGTCACCAAACTCCAAGAGCGCATCCAAGGTGTCCAGCAATGGCGGGATGGCATCTCGCTTGATGAATATGGATGAAGCGGGCAGTGCGGGTAAGAATTCGACTGATCCCCAGGCCCCCGATAGCGCCGAGTATAAGGGGACATCGGCCATGCATGGTGGTGATGCGGAGAGACGCCGGGAGATGTCTCCATTACTCAGTGGGCGACGGCGACAGATGGCATCGCCGTTGGCTTCGGCATCGGCGTCAGCAGAGAACATCAACCAGAGAGCCGCCTTGTCGACGTCACCCAGATCCTCCCGCATATCGCCAAACTACCCAATGAAGCCAATGGCCATGCAAGAGATGCGCTTGGCACCGCATGGCGAGTCGGCCGTGGATATGCCCGCGCGGTTCCAGCAGTACGAGAAGCGCATAAACGGGGACTTGCCACATTACATGTCCCTGCACGAACGGCCGCGGAACCAAGGGAATGCTCCTCGCGGTGCAGATTCTGGCGCTCCTCTGGTTGATAGCAATCGCAGTGGCACTATTTCCCCTGCTTACGCCGACCAGCATTTGATGATTATGCCCAAGGTCCAGCACCATCAGACGCTGCCATCCAGATCTGGTAATGTGGGGGACGATGGGCAGCATCCATCAAGCGCCTTTCCACAGCCGGTGCTTAGGGATGGAGGGCGGCCAGAGTATCCTGGTTCTGGCTACTCTTCGCCGAAACAGGTGCCAACACGCAGGCCGCCTGCTGAGAATAACTTTGAGGCCTTTCGAAAAAGTAGCCCGATACTGCAGCAGCAGCAGCAGCAACAGGCGGAGATTGATAATGGCGCTAATGCAGCTGGCTTGCGGAGCGATGAGCGGAATAGGCTGTCGAAGACCGAGACGCTGGTAGAGGACAAGGCTATTCTGCAAGAACAATATTTGTCTGCCCGGGTATTGGTGTCCCAGAAGCAACATCAACTGCAGCCGCGCCAGCCGCGCCACACGCCGCCCGAGATCCCAATGCATGGTTATCCGACGCCGCAGAACTCTCAATTGGAGCCTGTATCTGCACCTGTGTCCGCATCTAAGCCCTTGCCTCAACTCCACCAGCAGCAACAGCATCAACAACACCAACAACAGCCAGTGCAGGCTAGCCAGTCTGGCATGGATCCAAAGCGCAAGCTTGTCATCAACAACCGAGAGTACCAAAAAATCAGCATTACTGGGCGCGGTGGCAGCTCCAAGGTGTACAAGGCAATGTCGTCCAAGCATGAGATTCTGGCAATCAAACGCGTGTCGTTCTCGCGCGCTGACATGCAGTCCATCGCGGGCTACGTCAACGAAATTGTTCTTTTGCGCAAGTTTGAGGGCAACCCGTACATCATCCAGCTGTACGACGCCGAGATTAACAAGGAGCGCGGGCTGCTGCACATGGTGATGGAGCTGGGCGACACCGATCTGGCCAATGTGCTCAAGCGGCAGGGTGAAGTGGCACTGGGGATGAACACGATCCGGCTGTACTGGGAGCAGATGCTGCGCGCCGTCCAGGCGATCCACGACGAGCGGGTCGTTCACGCCGATCTCAAGCCGGCCAATTACTTGTTGGTCAAGGGGTCGCTTAAGCTCATCGACTTTGGCATTGCTAAGGCTATCGGCAACGACACGACCAACATACACCGAGAGAACCAGATCGGCACTGTCAACTACATGTCCCCCGAGGCTATCAAGGAGACCAACACAGATAACGGCAGGCGGATGATGAAGCTCGGGCGCGCTAGCGACATTTGGTCGCTTGGAATCATTCTGTACCAGATGTGCTACGGGCGCACACCCTTTGCGCAGCTGGCGCTATTCCAAAAGTTGGCGTCCATCCCCGACCCGAATTTCACCATCCCGTTTCCCAAGTTTATGGCCGGCTGCCAGCAGGTGGGAACGGATAAGGACCCCAACGCAGATTCGAACCCAAATAATTCCAGTGGCACGGAAAAGTTCCCGGTGCCACTAGATCTCCTGCGAGTGATGAAGAATTGCCTCCAGCGCGATCCCGACAGACGCATGACTATCCCCGACCTTTTGATTGACCCGCTTCTGTGTCCACGGGCGCTAGATGAATTGCTTCCACCAGCCATGTCGCAGATTATGACACTGCTAAAGCGCAACCCGCAGGTACTGGACCAGTGGGACGTGTCGGAGGCACAAAACGAAAAGGTGCTCAAGTCCTTAGTGCAAGCTCTGCACCAGCAAGAACAGCAAAAGTAATAGACAGCTTTTTTTAATATTTTTCTTAGTTTAATGTACCGTTAAATTTCTTTGCTACACACTGGTGATTTGAGTTGGTTAGTTGATTGGCTTTTTGGTTGGTTGATTGGTTGAACTACGTTTAATTTTTTATTGTCCCAAAGCCTTCACCCCTTTTTCGGTCTCTTTATATTTCAACCTTTTCTGCTCTTCAAACTTTCAAACTATAATTTGTCCAGTTCTTCATTTTAACAGCCAATTCGTTTCACAATGCGCAATCCTTACGACGAGCAGCAGACTCAAATTCTAGCCCGCATCACCAACAATGTTGTCAAACTAAACGACACTCTGCTCGAGCTCAACCAAAAGATTGAAGAGATAAACGAGATGAACAGCGACCTGGTGGCCTTTTCAAATATTTGGAACCACTACCAGCGTAACGCAAACCTGTATCTGGCCAGCACAAACAGCCTTGAACCCGCAAAAGCCAGGCGCTAGATATCCGCAAAAAAAGTGGCGGCTGCAGCGGGGTGCAAGCAAGCTATGGCAACGATGACTAAAATTATTCTGCCGATTGCGTGATGCGTGTCGCTCTTTTACCCAACATGAACAGGTGAGTGCTGCTTTTTTGCAGCGCGTGTCATTTGTCGATTTACCGCCTTCGTCTTTTTTTCGACCTGTTATTTTTATTCAATTGGATAGTTCAACCCACATTCCTCTTTCTCTTATTTTATTTTTTATTTTTACCTTATTTTCTGTACTAGTCACTTTTGACATTCACCAACCTTTTTTGAATAATAATAAATGCGGGCCTATTTTTACGACAACACTGACGCCGACCAGCGCGAGCTGCACGACTCTGGCATCCCTGTGAGCATCGAGAAGCTCAACAGCATCGGTGTATTCTACCGCCACCTTGATGGCAATTCCGAAGAGCAGCAGGCAGAGGTTGAGAAGCTGTGTATTGAGCGCTCATACAAGAACCGCGATGAAATTAACATTTCGCCGACATTGCTGCCCAACTATGAGGAGAAGATAAAGACGTTCTTCAGCGAGCATATCCACGAGGACGAGGAGATTCGCTTTATTATGCAAGGCTCAGGCTTTTTTGATGTTCGGGACAAGGAGGATAGATGGGTTCGCATTCTCGTCGAGGCTGGAGACTTGCTTATTGTGCCGCCGGGAATCTACCATCGGTTTACGTTGGACACGTCCAACTATATCAAGGCCATGCGCCTGTTTAAGGAGGATCCCAAGTGGACACCAATTAACCGCCCTGAAGCTGATAGCAACCCATTCCATTTGGATCATCTGAAGGCCATTGATGCATCTGGATGAGCATGCATTTTTTGAGTATATTTTCTTGCGCAATAAATATCATTATTTAACGATGGCCAGGTAAATATATAGACATATAATTCCTATATAATATTAAATTTCATCACGGCAAGTTGGAATATTAAATTTAGACATGTAACTATAACCAGATATAATTGCTAAAAAAAGCATTATCTAACTGCCCTGGTTGTACTTCATGCTCTCGACTAATTGTGAGAAGTGGCCGTTCTTGTCAGCGAGCAGCTTCTCGGGCGTGTCAAACTCTGTCTTCTGGCCGTGGACCATTACTAGAATGCGATCGCTGTCCATCACAATGCCCTCGATCCACGGTCTCTTGTCAGAATTTTTGTTATCCAGAGGCTTGACGTACTTCTCTGTTTGAGTATCAAGAGTATCGTCGATTTGGCCCGCACGAATAGCCGCCCAGACTTTGTCGTCAGTGTACTCGTTAGCCGGATCAAAATTGTCGCGTATAATACCCTTGAACAGTGCCGGGTCCTGCGGAATGATGACAATGCGTGATCGCAGGTCACGATAGCCGATGGTCGAATGTCAACGCTGTCGATGCTGATCTGGCCGTTGGCTGGCTCGACCAAGCGCATCAGCGCGTATGCGATTGAGCTCTTGCCTGCGCCCGTGCGCCCAACAATGCCAAGCTTCTCACCGCCTCGTGCTGAAAAGCTGAGCCCTTTGAGAACCAGATCCAACTCTGGGCGATAGCGCATGCTGTAATCGCAGAACTCAATTACCCCATTGTGCGGCCAACTGGGTTTTAACGTTGCACCATCACTGATCACCGATGCCTCGCGCTCCAGCTGCTCAGTATAAATGTAGTAGCGCAAAAGTGCCTGAATTTGGTTCTCAAACTTGCCGGAAATGTTATTTAGCGCGTTCACATGATGAAACACGTTTAGGGACAGCAAAGTCATTATCTCGATCTCTCCAGGAAGTACAGGAGCGGTAGTGTAAAGATGACGACGGATACTGAATAGCAAGATCCTGCTGTGGATGATCTCGACGCAAACGGTAGCCATCACCTTGCGCGAACTGTCCAATACACGAAAAATGTGGCCAAAATGTATTTCGCTGGAAAACCTAGTTCTTAATCGGTCCAGGTATACGTCGGCGCATCTGTGAATCCGAAGTAACAATTTGTGTTGAGATATCACTTCTGAGTAACTTAAGATATTATTATAAAGATACTGGTTTAGAATCCGCGGGAACCTATCTATATCTCTGAATAATATTTTGGACAGTGCAGTTAGGCCAGCTAGCAGCAAGCACAGCAGCAAAATTGTTGGCGAAAATCTTGTAGCCTGGATCATTGACGAGACTGCCAAGAAACTTTCAAACAAAATAGTATTTCACAGGGCCTTTGGAAGGTTTTTGGATATATAAACCCGACTAGCCATAAACATTTTCATCAGTTCAAAGGAAGAGAGAGTCTCTCGGCAAGTGTGAGTGGCAGTGAGAGAATACTGCTGATAAGCTGGCGACGCATTTTCTCTGCAACACGTTTGGTCCACAAAACCTTCCTGATCCACGCCTCAAAATAATTTAGCTGCATGCAAACAACTCCTACCAGCGCGTTGACAATTAAGTACCTGCTCATTGACTGGTGCATCGTGTTGGGATTGCTGTCGACCATGAGGCTGATTCGCAGGTTTTTGACGTAGTATATCGCATAGGCATTGGCAAGCTGGATCAAGGCCACAATAGCAACAGCCCCGTACCCACTGAGCTTGATAAACCTCTATAGCTGCCAAAGCTTGAACGGTGGATCCTTCAGCTCGGAGTGAATGGTAAACTTGCCAGATTCAGTGTCAGCGTTGCTGGTTGAAGCAGTTTCTGTCGACAAATCAGGGATGTGCTCATCTGTGTTGACAGCAGACACAAAACCAACCGGCTGCTGCTCAACGGCACCAGATGCTCGGCGTGGGTGACTAAAATACGCGTTTTATCGCCAATGATGCCGCCAGATGTCAAAATGCGCTCGACAATGAGGCGCTCGACCCGCGCATCGACAGCCGCAAGCAAGTCGTCAAATATGTAAACGTCCGCCTTTAGGTACAGCGCCCTCCAAAATAATTAGCAAAATAATTAGCAACAAAATACATATTCTACACCCTGCATATATTACATGTATGATACACGTTTGCTGTGAATATCCAATACTTACCTCGCTAGTTCCAGTCGCACCTTTTGGCCGCCAGACAGGTTAATGCCATTGTGGCCAATCTCTGACAGATCACCAGCTGCAAACTGCTTGAAATCTTCGGACAGAGCGCAGGCTTCCGGCACCTGGTGCATCCATTCCTCGTCGTACTCAGCGCCCATGAGCACGTTCTCGCGGAATCTGTTGTTTATAATGTACGGTTCCTGGCTGACATAGCCAATATTACCACATACGCGGCCATGTCCACCGATCATGGGAATCTCGCCGCACAGCCCTGAAAGGAGTGACGACTTTCCACCGCCAATGCGTCCGATTATCGTTACAAACTCGCCAGCCTTGACTCTCAGCGTGATCGGATCGAGTGTAAATTTGTTCTCGCCCCAGCTGAAAGCACAGTTGTCAAGTTCCACCACAACACCGTCCTTGGATGTCTCTGACACATGTGCAATGGATTTGGTATGTTGAGCATCAACAAGTGTCTGCATAAAAGCCACACCCTCTTTGATGTTGATAAGTGCCTGTCCAGTAGTACCAATTGTTTTGGCAAATCCAATGAGCGAGTCGATCGAGTCCACTAGCAGCGCAACACTGGCATACGGCATTGGATCACTGGACATGCTGAAGAAGATGATGATTGTCAGCGCCGTGGAAATCTGCGAAACCGAGGACCCGACAACCTTGATGATATACTCCAACACATACCAGAATACTGGCAGTGTGTATTCCGGCAAATCTAACTACGACATAGCGCCCATGAATGTATTCTCCCAGGCATAGAACTTGATTGTGCAGGTGTTGCTAGATATGCTGAAGTATTCTTCCTGAAACCTGGACATCTTGGTCATTCCGTTCAGCCTTTTCAGATGCTTAAGCTTTGCAAATACCAGATAGGCGAGTAGCTGGTGGCCAAGTGCAATTGCAACTGGAATGACGGCACACCAACCGATATGTCGAGATATGATCCAAACATTGAAAATATAAGTGAGAGTCAACCTGAAGGTACTCAGAAGGTTGTCTATTTTTGCTGAGATACTATAAGCTATATTTAAAATATGTGAGTATGAGGGGAATTTGCAATATGCTGTAATGTACAACTCTTGCACCTTAAAATATAAAACCACAAGCATTTTTCAAATAGCAACTTGTATAATTTAAAAATGTATCCATCAGCAAGAGTGGTGAGCAATAAGCAGCTGCCAGGCAACGAGCAGAATGGCCAAGCTCAAGTAGTCGATTTCATTTGAACTGCCAATGGTTGCAAGAATGCTAACAAACAGGAGCCAGCGCCAATAAGTAGCCACTTTGATTGATTAAATATTTTTCGTTCTAAACGCACTGATTCAACAAAAGATTCAGCATGGTTCTATTTAGAAGACCTCTACGTTGGGTCAGACACTGCTTTTTTGATGTGCTTGCTAAACTCGTTCTCAAATTTGTGGTCGCACAAATTATCAGTGGAAAGGCAACTACTGCGCGCGAGCCTGGCAAGAGTAAACCCATTGAGGGCGCACATGCCCTTGAGATGTAACAAAATGGTGGTTTTCAACTGCGAATCCAGCACATACCATGCAAGCCAAAGGTGAATGGCTGTGCTGGTTGCAGTTGCCAGCAGGGTCATCAGCAGCGGCGACTGGGCAAGTCAGTAAAGCCTGGCCACATAAAGGCAAGCGAGCGCATTGCTGCTGCTGGTGCTCAAATGGTTCTATAAAAACGTGTAGTTTCGACGAGCTAATAAGCAACAATTAAAAGTGAATAATGAGGTGGTGAAAGAATGAGAAGAAAATGTAGGTTAACTTGAGCAGGGTATTTTTATTCTGGTTTTTTGGCACAATGACTTAGTGCAGCTCTTATTATAAAATAACTTTATGTTGAAATACATAAGCTTAATTTTTTTGATAATCTGATACTCGAATGTCACCATTTCTTGCCAAAGTTTTTTCGGGAGTAATTAAGCAAGCACCTGCAGGGTTTGTTTTTATTACCGCCAAAAAACTACACCTAAATAAACAAGCAACTGTAAAAACATCTTATTAAAAATAAACTTAGCGTTCTTGCATAGCAATTCATGTATATTCACCCTAAACACCAACAACCAACAACCAACAACCAAATTTCTATTATTGTCGGTGTCTAAGACAACGTGAAATATTGAATTTGTAAATAATAGTTATTTTTATACTTTTATTAATGTGTTGCTTCTGCATTTGTATACTTGAACCTAACATAAAACGCATGTCTCTCTTTTAACAAAAGAAAATACATCTGACCAGCAAGACTTTTATATATTTGCACAACCAATCAGGACTGCGAATTTACACTGTTGACTGCAAATACCTAAGACTGCAATTGCTATTGCAAATTGTAATTTATGCAAATACACACAAAGTCAGTTTACAATATAAATGTGTATATACTGCACACTAAAGAGCATAGGCAAATATGGTCGAATACACAAAATAATTTTGATATTATTATTTACTTTTAAACATCTCAACTGCCTTAATATTTAAAGATGTATTATAAATATAACAGCTTTTAGAATAATACACATTTGTCGATTACATTTTAGTACCAGCAAATATTCAAATCCAATGGTGAGGCAATGCACATATAATAATTGTTGTATTACTAATATTAGTTGGAGAATCATTGACAACATTATATTAAACTTATTGCAATACTTTATTAATAATATTTTGAGATTTATAACTAATCCAATAACTAATTATGCTTATTGTTACTTAATACACATGTTTGGTAGCTTCACAGCTGTGCTGAGTTGTTTTATATAATAATTTAAAAGAGAGAAAATGTATTTATTAAGCGAGATATAAAACAAGCAAAAAAAACTAAAGTTGATGAATAAGACTAATTCTCTACCATGCCACCTTGCCTGGTATGGGCTTTATTGTAGATATGGATACATGCCCCTATAACAAAAATTATTTTAGAGGCGGCGAGGTTTGGAGTTCCTCAGACCTGGGTCTAATTGCCTGGTGATGGAAGTGTCCACCAAGAATGTTAGTAAAACTTATAAACCCGAACACTTGATCTGCTAACTAGAGCGCCAATTGTGGCCAGATAGCTAGCGTGCATATCTGCCGTCCTCATTGCCCTTGCTCACCGCTAATTATGTAGTACATTGTTTCTGTCTTGTCGCGGATTTGGTAGTCGGGGTGTTTGTTGAGATTGGAGTTCTCATCAACAATTGGCATTTCTCAGGCGTGAAGGATCCCCTCATTTTCCGTTCAATCTGTAGGTTGCACCGTCCATTGTACCAGTTGTGCTGTTTGTCTATAATCTTATTTACAAACACCGTTGCTTGTTTCTGCGTGACTCCCTTGAAGTTTCTTGACCAGCGTTGTGTACATGTACTCTGTCAGCTCCTGCCGGCCGCGCCTCATATCCAGGTCTAGCTTCTTGTCCTGGTAACGGACGTCCACACGCTCCCTGAGTTCCTCCAATATGTCATGTGTTTGTCTTAGATACACCTGAAGTCTGTTGTCCGTCTCAGCCGCGAGGTCCGACAGCTGGGGTCCCAAAATTGAAAAATTGAAAAATTGTGGGCAATATATTTTTTTGGCCCACAACTGCCACAGGTTTTGCCAATCGTACTGGCAATCATGAAACCCCCTCCCATTTTTTTCTGCGGCAGTCATTTTCTCACCCTTCATAAATCCAATAACTCGTCACCTTATAATTATACTCTTCCAATCATTTATTTTATTTCACAAACCCCTCCAAAAAAATATACAAAACATAACTATGAGCGCGATACCAAAACATGTATCCTCCATGGCTCCTCGCAGTATGCCAACAGGACAACGCAACGTTGTCAGATCCAACGATTCGGCCTCATTATGGAACTGTACCCTTTCCCCAGGATGGAGTCTGGACGAAGTGCAAGTTTTGCGCAAAGCCCTAATGAAATTTGGTGTCGGAAACTGGATGAAAATCATAGAATCTGAATGCCTCCCAGGAAAAACCATCGCCCAAATGAACCTACAGACACAGAGAATGTTAGGGCAACAGAGCACGGCCGAGTTTAATGGCTTACATATTGATGCGTTTGAGGTTGGCGAGCTTAATTCGAAAAAGCAGGGTGCGGATATTAAGCGCAAGAATAATAGTATTGTTAATACCGGTGGCAAGCTGACCAGGGATGAGGTTGAGAAGAGGAGGAATGTGCATAGGGAGGCATTCGAGGTGGCAGAGGAGGTGTGGACGAGTATTGTGTTGCTCAAGCTGGATAACCCGTTGCTGCTGCTGGACAGGAAGCGTGAGGAGCTTAAGGGGTTGAAGGCTGAGCTGCAGGATGTGCTTGATCAGATATTGGCTTTGGAGAATAGCCGGGATGATGACAAGGACGACAATCAAAATACCTTCTTGGGTTCAGGTTCAAAGCGCCAGCGTGAATAGAAAATTTTTGGCATCTGCTAATTTATAAATATCAAAAGTACATATGCATTTCCTTTATCGACTTTAGCTAAATTAATAAGGCGAATAGGTGAATAGGTGAATATGCATGGCTAAGAGCATTAATGTTTTTTAGGCTGGGGAGGGGAACGACATAGTGGCGCGTGCACCCCTCACAGCGAGTGTGAAGTGATTGAGCTCGCATGCAATATTTGCAAGTAAAAAACTATCATTCGGATTTGGAAGAAAAAAGTGCAAGAGCAATTGTGTGTGTATTTATTTTAAAAATGAAGTATGAGAAAATAAAAAGCAATGCAATGCATGAGCGCAAGAGTGCAAGTGCAGAAATATCTGAATTTGAACTGGGTTTAAAAATGTTTTAAGAGAAGCAATTGCGGAGTGCCTGAACTTGCGTGTCACTCAATAGTTGTATCTTAAATCCTCCCATGTGTATTGAGGGCTCTGATGCTGCTGGTGGTGCTGCTGATGTTGTTGCTGCTGATAGTGTTGCTGCTGATAGTGTTGCTGCTGTTGTTGTTGCTGCTGATATGGGGTGTGACTCGGGTACGCATCGTGGGATGTGTATTCCGAGGGCGTTGGCGACCCAGAGCGATACGATGTGGAAGAATAAACCGACCGCGAGTTGTCCTCATACAATGGAGAGCTAGGCCTGGTGCGGTTAATATTGTATCTCGAGGGACCAGGGCCATTTCCAAAATCAAACGATACATGGCGAGCTGAATACGCAGGCGGCTGCGATGCGGAATTCATATTGTAGTTGGACTGCTGGGCATAGCTCTGCTGATGGTACTGTTGCTGGTAGTTCTGCTCCTGTAGCTCCCGCTGAAGAGGGGGAGGGGAGTAGTATTGCTGTGGTGGTGGTGGCGATGGCGACCGATGCGGCAAGGAGTGGTAGCTTGCGCCTGGAATGACAAATCCGCCCGGTGAGCTGGGCGAGGCAGGCCGCGCCGACTGGTATGTGCTACTCCAGCTTATCTGGCGATGCTGCTGGGCCACATTAGGGTCGACAAAGCCCATTGGGGACGGGCCCCAGCCTCCCGAGCTGGCATTGCTGTTGTGCGACGTCATTGGCAAGATGAAGCCGCCGGGGTCTCCAGGCATAAACTGGCCGCCGCTGCTGTCACTATCATACTGGTGCTGGTTATGTCGCCGTTGCGAGGATAGGTCCATAGACTGTGCGTAATCGGAATGGTACATTGCTGTTTTCTGTGTATAGGCAGGTTATTAAAAAGAGAGAGGGGGGATGGACGGATTGGGGATTTTGAGATAAATATTTGTTGAAATGTAAAAAAGTTTTAAAAAGAAAAGACATTTGCAAGGCAGGTTGGAGATAACTTCAATGTCTTTTTATAGGCGTCGACGCTGCCTCCGCCTGCCGCCACCTCCATTTTGAAAAATTGAATAAAGGCGGAAAGGTCCGATGGCTGGTAAAAAAATAGTTTCCATTGAATAAATAGGGAAACAATCAAGAGAAAAGATCTATCAGAAAATCGCAAAATGGATAAGCTGAAACCTCCCGCCACTATCTCTCAATACAAATGATGTAATGTGCCTTTGGAAGCAGAAAGAGAGCAAAAAGCGCAAATCAAAACGGATCTTGTGCCGCAGCAGCAGCAAAATAAAATTTACAGAGAACACTAAATGTAGGTATGGAAAAATTACGGTCATAAGAATTGACGTATGTATGCGTGCTTGCATTTTTTTATTTTCCGAGTGTGAACAAAAATTTTTTATTAGCCTTCTTATATGTCACCAAAAGAAAATCCCAGGGCACATGAAAAACGGTCAAGTTGGTCAGACACGTATCATATGTTCAACAATATTTTCTTTGATGTTCTGGAAGACACTGATCTCCAGACACGCTCTCTGCTACGCGTTAGAAATGCGTAAATAAAGCTGTATAAAATGGTAAATCTTTGGTCAACAGACTTTATATTTTTTATTGCCCTTATTTGCCTTATTTATGTTGGTTTGAATCTGATTATGCTGAGTATACAGCCACTACTCAGTGTAAAAGGGTTGGCCTTGCATAAATACACTTACACTTTTATTTATTGTTTGATTGTTTGATTTTGTTCAGTTGATCATTTGACGTTCAGAAGCAAAGAAAATCATTAAATTTGTCCGCTCGAATTTGCAACATGTGTTTGCCGTGCAGGCGAATGACACCTACAAGCCGTATTCTCCGGCATAATTTGCGACATATTCTCCAAAAAATGGGACATTTTGCTTTTTTTTATCGATAAACGAAAATAAGAATACTTGATGGTGACGATAAAATGAAAAACAATAATTTAACTTGGAAAAATTTAAAAATATTTAATCTACAACACACAACACAAAGTAATCAATGGCCTTTTCCTCCTTTCCTCCACGCACAAAGATCATGTTTTTGGTTTTGACGCTGACCATTCCGCCGTAATCACGGCCATCAACAGTAGTTGATGCAGCGTAAATGGGCTCGCTCTTCTTATCCTGGCCACAGACATAGGGTTTTCCGCCAACAACAGCTTTGAAGGTGAATTTGCCTTGAATAGGAATCCATTTGAAGGCGGTTACCGATCCGCATAAAATCTCGTAATCGCGGAACAAGACGGCTCTGCCGTTGCACGGTGCAACCAACCCGCCCTTGGATGCAATGGCCATTCCGACTTGTACGCTGTCTTTATATGTGGCGCGGCCGATGTAAATGTTCCCGTTCTTGTATGTACCGCTGCGTATCGCGTCAGTTGGAATATGGTGCTTTGTTCTACATAAATTTTGTACTCAGCTAAGATAAGGCATTGTTAGTTTTTTGCTCGAACGTGCGCAGTTGAAATAATGTGCTAGTTCGAAAATATGGAAATAAGAGGTGCCTCAAGACTGGCACGTGCATATGTAGCATTTGCCGCCATGCATAGCCGCAGCCTTTAGGTCAAAGGATGTGTGAATTTATAAATATGGCTGTGCGCGTCATATATTAAAATATCTTTATTTTTGTCGGGAAAAAAATTAGTGGAATCGGCGCGAGAAATTATCGTGATAGCCCTGAAATAGAGAGAAAGAGAGGGAAAGAGAGAGAAAGAGAGGGACGGAAAGGGACGGAGAGGGACGGAAGAGTAAAACAGAATGTTTTACCAAGGAATTGGAATAGGAGGGAATGGAAATTAAGTATAATGAAAGAAGAAACGTTGTGCTTACGATTTGTTCACTGGTTCCCAGCGAGTGCTGCTATTTTGTTTCTTCGGGTATATGCTTGGGCGAATAGTCGGAAGCTGGGGGGAAGTTGCCGTTGGAGGCGGTCTCTGTTGCTGCTGCTGCAGCTGCGGCGGCCTCTGTTGCTGGTTAGCGCCCATCCCGGGCGTGCTGGAGTTCATCAAAGGAGGCCTCTGCTGCTGATTTCCATAGCTACCCATATTGGGTGCGCTGGAATTCATCGGCGGCCGCTGGGAGGAAGAGATATCTGTAGAAGGGGGAAGGTTGGGCCTTTGCTGCTGATTCTGCTGTAGCGGCGACGGACCAAAGTTACTACTAGGGTTACCACCATATCCGCCAGGGCTGCCGTATCCGCCTGGACCGCCAGGGCCTCCATATCCGCCCGGGCTACCAAATCCACCAGAACCGCCAGGAGGACCACTCATCGGAGGGTAAGGCCCGTTGTTAAAGGCACCAGGTTCTCCACCATAGCCACCAAAACCGCCAGGACCTCCACCGAATCCACCTTGGAACCCACCAGGCCCACTCTGGAATCCGCCGGGCCCTGGAGGGTATCCGCCAGATACAGGAGGGTATCCGCCAGATACAGGAGGGTATCCGCTGCCGTAGCTGCCTCGGTGAGCTGGAGGATAGCCGCTGCCACTACCACCAAATCCCGGAATGGCAAAACCGCCAGGCTCTCCAGACTGAATAGGACTGCTAAAGGCGCCTCCAAAGGGTGGTGCATCGGGCATGCTGAATCGCTTGTTGCCGGCACCAACCGACGGGTTGTTTATATCCGAGTGGTTGTTGGGCCGTGCATTTGGTCCGGCGCCGATGGTGACGCTGGGCCCCGCACGGTCGCTGTTCTGGGGCGGATAGCCGTTGTATCCGCCTCCCATCGAACGGTCGGTTGTATCCTGGGGCGGATAGCCACCGTAGTAGTTGCCATTCGGAGGGTACATGTTTGTATTTTGCCGCAAATGAAAGAGGTGTAAAAATTAATTAAAAAAATTTTGGAAGAAAAAAGGGAAAGTGTGGAACGCAGTAATGAGAAGAGTTTATATAATACTTCTTACAAACTATAAAAAATATTATTTAAAAGGATTTTTTTATAAAAAGTGAAAGACAGGCTTTGTGCAATAAGAAAATAAAAGAAAAAGGATGTGAGAATTGAAGTGTGCAAAAAAAGGGGCGGGAGCGAGACTCGAACCCTTTATATACGATTTTCAATTCCATTCCCCTCAACTGAAGATTGGGGATTGGTGTGACGAACATGACGACAAACACAAGGTATTCCGTTGGAAGCAAGGGGCGAGGCACATGTTTGATTTGTCAAGCGAGCAAAAATAAAAATAAAAAATAATTGCTCGGTAGTCATGAAGCGTTAATTTTGCTCGAGGTGGGTGTTTTTACAATTGTTTCTTCCCTAGTTCAAAGTCTTCTAAAAGGCGCCTTTTTTTATTGGCAAAAGAAAATGGAAAAATGGAAATTTCCATGTGCCTTTCTGGCGCTGTTCGATACCCTACCAAAAGCTGCACAAACCAAGCCATTTACAGCCGCTTTGATTATTACCCCCATTTATTGGATTGGAAATTAAACAGGAGTGTGGGCGGGCGGGCGGATTTCAGGAAGTCATTGTTACTAATGTGGCTGAGGGCAACTCACATTGCTGGAAAAGAGTGAAGAAAGGGTAGCAGTTAGAACATTCCAAACTACAATGCTCCGTTTACATGTTGACGACTTGCAGTACAGCCATGACCCAGCTGCTGGATATCGGTCTGCGTTTTTTATTTTCTCGCCGAATATGCGCTTGGTGGCTGCGGATGCGGCGTTATGCCTAAAAATAGAGCGAACAGTGCACGCCCACCTAATTGCCTGGTCTGGTGCATATCCCGTGACTGCTATGCTCAAGTAAGAGTGATAAGAAGCAAATTACACGCTCGCATCGCCTCTTTTTCCTGGCTGCTAATTCCACTCATTGCTGATCCAGTGATTTGATTGATGGGGATTGGGCGGAATAGGGGTTGCGCGCCAAACAAAAAATGCCCGTTGTGCGAAAGAGTGCGATTTGGGTTCCTGAATGCAAGCATTTCGAAATTTAATTATTTTTGAATTTGTGCTCATCTCGTTTTATTTTTACACTCAGCTTCTTTCAATTACACACACAAGCTCTATTTTATTTTCTTTAATTGACGGCTTTTTCGAAAATGGCGAACCCCAGCAATGTGTTGGTCATGGACCTGGGCACGGGTTTCGTGAAGGTGGGCCACTCGGGAACGAATTTCCCAGCACACGTTTTTCCATCTGTAGTCGGACGGCCAATGCTGCGGGCTGAAGAGGCGACCACAGTGGCCGACGTGCCCTATGAGATTAAGGACATTAACGTGGGCGACGAA